ACACACACACACAAAGATATGGTTCTGCGTTTTATAATAAGTATAGATTTATAATCTTAAAAATTTTTACAAGAAGAATAATTTTAATATTTAGTTAAAAAATTGAGGTTTTATCTAAAATTCGATTATGGGCAAATACTGATGATTTTGTTACCAGTTTCTTGAGTTTTCTTCCATGATTTAATCGATCAACTTTGTTTTCAAATTTCTTAAAATATATATGGAATACATTACTCCAGTTAATAATTTTGTATAAATTCAGGTTCTTCCAAAGTCTTTGCTTGGAATATAAAAAATAAAAGACTTAATCAGATTTACCTTTTATTTTTATATTCCATCCCCAAAATCACATAAAATGGCTTAAATTAACCTAAAATAAATTCAAGTATTACTTTTTAATCAACCTATATATATATATATATATATATAAAAATGAAGAATAAAAAAAATATAATTCAATGTTTTTAAAATAGATATTTTTATTTGTACAAAATAATGCTAAAATGTAAATTTAAATTGAGAATTAAATTAAAAATTACTTGAAAATATAAAATAAATGAAAAAACTTTTCCTTATTTCAATAAGTTCTAACCATGTTTAAAACCCAGTGATTTTACTCCAAAATTCAATGCTTGAAAGTGAAATTCATAAAACAAATGTCTTTAGTTTAATTACAAAATTAAATTTGGACCTTTATTTTTTATAAATATGGTTAAATGTGTATATCTCAAAAATTTAAATTTTAAATTTATTAATTTATAATATATATATATATATATATATATATATATATATATATATATATATATTTCTATTTATTTAATAGATACATAAAATTTATTATTTATTTTAGTATTTATTTAATAGAAATAAATAAAATTATTTATAGGTTTGTTTTCTTGAGGATTTAACGTAAAAATGTTTGGTGAAGAATTATCTGTATTTTTTGTTAGAATGGACGATTCTATCATATATGGTAAATTAAATTTTAAATTAGGTTGTCATTAAATTTACATCAGATACGGAATTAAATATAATTATTTGAGTATATAGGATTTTTGAAATAGAATATTCTATTTCTCAAGGAGGCTAAATTTTAAAATAATTGTTTAATTCCATTTAAAAAAAATAAACATAAAAAGAGTATATCATGTTCTGATTTTTTAATCATTTTTCAGCATTTCTATAACGTTAAATATATTTTTTTATATTTTTAGAATTTTTTAGTTTTTCAATAAAGAATATAAAATTAAATTTTTTTCAATATTTTCAAATCGATCCTCCTGATCTAGATTTAATCAACAATTCGCCCTTGCAAAAGAACTATTGCTTATTTTATATTTTCTGGTGCCCCTTCTGTTTTTCCTGTAACTGGGGTTCCTTGATTTGCTCCAGAGGCGGATATGCATTTTTATTGGAAATTTCTTCTTTTTCAAATTGATAAACAAAGTATTTTTTTTTTTTTTATATATTTTCGATTCTTTTTTGTTTTTTTTTTATTTTTTTAAATAATAATTGTTAAAAAAATATTTTTTTCCATACAGAAATCATTCAAGTTTCTCAAATTTCGATATATGGCATCCCTCTCTTTTTTTTTTTCATAAAATATATTTTCTCGAAACTACTTCAAATGTAAATTAAAATTCTAAAAAATATTTCATATATCGCAAATCTCGCCTGTGGAAAAATAAACCCTTCCTGAAAATCAATTCAGTTTCCTTAAAAAATATAATAATTCAATTATTCAAATGTAATATAATATACATCTCCAGTTGTTTTAATCCACTTCAAAATTTTAAAACTTTGATTTTTCCTTTTTTACATTTTATCAAATCTTTTTTTATTTGCTCCAAATCATTATTAAAAATGTGGTTTATTTTGTCTAGTGGCTTCCCGCCTTGTTGGGGTGAAACGCTTTAAAAAAATTTTTATTTTATTTATATTTTGATTCTTTTTTTTATATTTTTACTTTTTGGAATATTTATATATTCCTTAATAACGTTCGCCCCATATTTGTTATAAGGTAATTTTTCAAAATATGTTTATTATTTTCTTAAGATTTTACACTGAAAATGAAAGAATTTTCCAAGTCAAGACTTGAAGATCATGAAGTAGATTTTCTAATTTAATTTTCAGATTCAAAAAACTTATTTACCTTATAGACAGTTGAAGTAACTTTAAAAGGTACCGAAAAAAATATATAAATTTATATAAACATAAATAATAGTAAATTATATAACCCAACAGAGGAAGTAAAAATAAATAATATAATTAAAACAAAAATCATAATTTTTTCTTTAATTTTAGCAAATAATTAATATGATTTATTGTTAGATGAATGAATCAATCATATATATAAATAATATCTTTTTTAATGGGTCTGTTAATAAATTTTTAAAAATTTTTATTTAATATAATTAATATGATATACATTATTAAATTAAAATTTTATCAAAAATGAATGAATTGTTATTAAAAATAAAATAAAATAATTTTTTAAATTATAAAATTTGTTTAAAAGAGAGATTTTTAATATATATTACTGAAATAAAATATTTCATCATCAATTCAGTAATATGAATGAATCGATCAGATATGGTAATTAATTTTTCAAATTCTGTTTTTTAATTAAAAAAAAATATAATTATAACTTTATATAGGCGTTTATCAAATGAATGAATCGATTAGATATGATAATAAAACGTTCATGGGTCTGTTTAAAAAAATATTCTAAATAATATATTAAAATTACTTAATATAGAAAGCAGATTTTTTTTTTTTTTTCATATCGTGTGTTTGTTTTTCTGTAGTTTATATATTTGACAGAATAGATAAGGCCCTCTCTCTCCACCCGTTTGCTCATATTTTTGTGTTTAGTGACTTTAATTAAATTCATTTGTCAAAAAACTCGAAATGCTTTTTACTGACCAATAATTTGGCATTCAAACATTTAACTTTATCAATTTCTCAATCCCTCACGCAGATAGTCGACTTCCCACGCGTTTTGCCCTCGACCTGGGAGAAGTTAAAAGTTCTTCTTACCTTTTTTTTTTCCATCCCCGAATCTTGTAGCGCCACACAGCACCGCCCATTTTTAAATAACTCTGATCACGCTGTTGTATCTGTTAACATTTCCTTCAACTCCACGCCCTGCAAAGAACCTCCCATCACAAGAACCTCGTTCTACTATCAACGATTAAGGAAAATTGGGACTCATTCCGTGACTTCCTCCGCGATGTCCCCTGGGATGTTGTTTTTACACTATTGTGTCCAAGAATGTTGCTTCTATATATCTCATCCTGGGTTAAAGCTGGAATCGACGCTTTCATCCCCTCAAGGAAATTTAAGGTCAAGTCGCACTCCCCCCTTGGTTCTCCGTTGCTTGCTCATCTCCCATTGCCCATAGGAATCACTTCTTTCACCGATTTCCGTAGCGACATGTCTGGACTGCAATAGACGTCTCTTTGCCTCCGCCCGTAACGAGTGTAAGCGTGTCCTCAACGAAGCTAAATCAATATTTGCTGCTCGGATGAAGGAACGTATTGCATCTCATATTTAGTTTGGCTCCAAAGATTATTGGCGAGTCTGCAAGAGTGTCCTGAATAATCGAAAACCCTCCATACCTCCTTTATTCAACCAGTTCGAGGTCTTGACCTCCCTACCGACAAGGCTGAATGCTTTGCTCGGAAATTCTCATTTAATTCAACGCTCGAACTCCAATTCGGTGTACCCATACCAGACTTCCCTCTTAGAACTGAGGCCTTATTGAGCGGCTTAAACATAACCCCGTCATTGGTACTGGGCATTATCTCCAATTTAGACCCCCACAAGGCTAGTGGTGGAGATGGCATACCAGCCATTGTCCTGAAGAAATGCGCGCCTGAACTGGCACCCGCCCTCTCTAAACTGTATAATTACTGCCTCAAGGAATCATGTTTTCCTGACTGCTGGAAGTCCTCATCCATTGTTCCTGTGTTTAAGAACTCTGGAGACCCCTCTGACCCCAATAATTACCGTCCTATTAGTCTCCTACCCTCTTCGGCAAAGTCTTCGAAGCCCTAATCAATGCCGAAGTGGTTAATCACCTTACATCCCATAATCTGCTCTCAGACAAGCAATATGGTTTCCGCTTTTTGTCGATCTACAGCTGATGTGCTTACGGCCATCACTGAAACCGTCTACCAAGCCCTTCAAAATAACGGTGAGGCTCGTGCCGTGGCCCTCGACATCTCCAAAGCATTTGATAGGGTTTGGCATGCCGGCCTTCTTCGTAAGCTCCAGGGTTATGGTGTTACTGGTCGACTGTTTGATCTAATACAATCATTCCTGTCAAACCGAGAATTGAAGGTCGTTCTCAACGGATTCTCCTCCAGTTCCTATCCCACGAACGCAGGTGTTCCCCAAGGCTCCATCCTTGGCCCCACTCTTTTCCTTATTTTTCATAATGACCTTCCTGACGCCATAGATTCCCAAGTTGGCATCTACGCAGACGACACTACAATTTACTCCTGCCTCAAAAAACAAATCTAGTGTCGGCAACAAAACTAACCTGGCCGTGCGTCTTGAAATGGACCTCCAATCGGTTGTTAACTGGGGCAAGAATTGGCTGGTCAACTTTAACGCCTCAAAAACTAAACTACTCTCTATTAATCACCATAGAGATCCTTCCCTGCCCCCCATTAAAATGTCTGATAGTCAACTTCTTGAGAGCAACTCCCTGCGTCTGCTCGGTCTCACGTTGACTGCTGACCTGAGATGGAACAAATACATTGAGTCAATTGCTTCTTCCACCGCGAGGAAAGTTGGCTCTCTGTGCCGCGCCAGGAAATTTTTTCTCCCCTGAATCGATACTTCAAATATACAAATCAACCATTCGCCCTTGCATGGAGTATTGCTGCCATATATGGTCTGGGGCACCTTCTGTTTACCTCGGAGTTCTTGACAAGATCCAGAGACGGATATGTAATATAATTGGCCCTGATCTGGCGTCTCGTCTGCAGTCACTCTCTCACAGACGCGCCGTCGCCTCTCTCTGTCTTTTTCTACAAATACTTTCATGGTAATTGCTCCGATGAGCTGCTTTCACTGGTTCCCAGACTCCATGAATTCAAGCGCCCTACGAGGCTGGCATCCCGCTCCCCACCCTTACACACTGTAGAAACTTTTAAATGTAGCCGTCTCTTCTACTCCAATAGCTTCATACCTCGCACCTCTCGCCTGTGGAACACCCTCCCCAATTACTGTTTCCCTGAAAGCTATAATCTCCAACTATTCAAATGTAATGTCAATCGACATCTCCAGTTACCTTGATCTACCCACTATCCTTCTCCTCATCCTTTCTTCTATCACTCCTATCTGCTCTCGCTCCAAATCTTCTGCAACCCCCTGCATCCTAGTGGCTTCACGCCTTGCTTGGAGCACAAATGTTTAAAAAAAAATGGATCGGATTTACATTTTTTCAACCGATTTCAAAAAAACCTCACAGGACTACGTAAAATTACCTTTGCGGTGGTTCGAACAGCGCCAAATATTGGAAAAATATTGTTTTTAACGAAATCAATTTGAAAAAAAACGGTTAAGAATATATCGCACCCGAACGGAAGTTACTGCCGGCTACTCAAACGTCCGAATGCCGTTAACTTCCGGTGACTCAAATTTTTTTTTTTCAGAGAACGATACACAAAAAAGTAAACAAATGAAATCTAAACATAGACAAGTCCTCCTAACTAAAAAATAATAACTTTCTACTTTAAATACTTTAAGGTGTCTTCATTTTTCTACTGTAAGGAAAAATCATTTATTATGTAAAAGATTACAGAAAAAACTAAAAATGAATATGATTTGTTAGATCATCTTAAAAATTATAAAACGCAGATTGTGTGTGTGTCTGTACATTTATATATTGGATCGGATTTCCTAATTTTTTCAAACGATTTCAATTAAAACTTCACAGGACTACGTAAAATTACCTTGCGGTGGTTCTAAAAATTGAAACGCCATTTAAAAATTGGAAAAACACAATTGTTTTTGACGAAATCAATTTGAAAAATTGACGATTAAGATTATTAATGAAAGGGGGACAAACAAAATATCGAGTTATAAAAAATAATATCGAGTTATACTTATTATAAAAAAGGTTTTTGGTTGTGTGTGTGTGTGTGTGTGTGTGTGTGTGTGTGTGTGTGTGTGTCCCATTGTGTGTTTTTTTTTTATTTATGGGATCAAATTTCCTAAATTTTAAACCGATTTCAACAAAACTTATTGTCTTGCACACTTTTTCTTTATTTTTTACATTCAGAATGCTTTAAAAATTCCATTTACAAGACAATTGTTTATAAAAAATTCTATTCAATCGATAGACTCATAACGACTTAAAAACAATGTTTTTGTTTGAGTTTGGGTTTGACCAGTTCGTAAAAAAAAAAAATAATTAAGACATGCGTGTCCGTTAACCTTAAACAATAATCTTTGTCAATTTTATTTTTCAGTATTTATGATGGTCGATACTTGATCTATCTTTACTGTTATTCCCCGGACAACCCGATCTATGCTAGTATGATATATAGGCGTCAGTCAGATGAATGAATAAATTAGATATGATAATTAATTTTTTTGTATGGTCTGTTTAAACAGAGAGGTTTTTAATATAATTAATATTTATTTTTATAGAGGTTATTAATCAAATGAATGAATCAATTTTATATACTTTTTCATGGGTCTGTTTAAATAGAGAGGTCTTTAATATAATTAATATGATTTATAGAGGTCAGTCAAATGAATGAATCAATCAGATATACTTTTTCATGGGTCTGTTTAAATAGAGAGGTCTTTAATATAATTCATATGATATGTAGTCGTCAGTCAAATGAATCGATCAGATATGATAATTAAATTTATTAAGAACCAGTTCAATTAGAGAGGCTATAAAATAAAGTTGTTAGAGTTCATGGTGACAAACCAAATAAAAAAAAACTATGTAATTAAAGTTCTTTTGAGTCAATTTAATTAGGAAATGCGTTAAGTTTAACTATTAGAATATACATGCTTAAACCAAGGTAACGATTTGGTAATTAAATTACTTATTGTTCAATTTGATTAGAGAAGTTTATTAAATATAATTTACACAGTATAGATCGGTCAATCAAACGAACGAGTATACCAGATATGGTAATTAAAATACTGATGAATCAGTTTAATCCTGGGAGAATCAAATATAATTGTTCGTGTACAGAGAGTTCAAACAAACGATCGAATTGATCAGATATTAAATTACTTATCGGCCAGAGATGTCTGTAAATATAATTGATATTATATAGAGGGATCAAACAGATGTAAGATTTGATTAGACACGATAATTAAAATAAATTTTCTATTGGTCAGTTGTGAGTATATACAGATCAACAAAATGAATGATTAAATTACTCATGGGTCAGTTTAATCAGAGAGGATATTAATTATAATTATTAGAGCATACAGAGTCCAACGAATGAAACTAATCTATCAGGTGTGGTAGTTAAATTGGATATTAAATGTAATTTTACAGTATATATGTGACAACTAACGGGATATGTCGATCAAATATGTTAATTAAATTACATATAGGTCATTTTAATTATCGATGACGTTAAATAAACTTATTAGAAGATATCAGTGTCAGCCAATTGATCCAATCGATCAGATATTGTAATAATTCATAGAAGATATTAAATATAATTACGAGAGTATATAGGGGTTTACCAAATAGGCTATTTGTCAAGATATGATAATTAAATTACTTATAAGTCAGTTTAATAAAAAATAGCATTACATCATACAGTCGCTCTCTCACAGACGCGCCGTCGCCTCTCTCTGTCTTTTTTTACAAATACTTTCATGGCAATTGCTCCAAGGAGATGCATTCGCTGGTTCCCAGACTTCATGAATTCAAGCGCCCTACGAGGCTGGCAACCCGCCCTCAGCCTTTCACTGTCGAAACTACTAAATGTAGCCGTCTCTTCTACTCCAATAGCATCATATCTCGCACCTCTCGCATGTGGAACACGGCTTCCCTATTCCTGTTTCCCTGAGAGCTATAATGTCCAACTATTCAAATGTAATGTCAATCGACATCTCCAGTTGCCTTGATCTATCCACTATCCATCTCCTCATCCTTTCTTCTATCACTCCTATCTGATCTTGCTCCAAATATTCTGTAACCCCTTGCGTCCTAGTGGCTTCCCGCCTTGCTTGGGGTGAAACGCTTAAAAAAAATAAATAAAAATATAATCCTTTTAGTATAGGCGGGTTAACTATGTGAACGTATTGATCAAATATGGGTATTAAAATAAGTATGGGTCAATTACATCAAAAAGAAGCTTAAATGGAATTATTAGAGAATTTCGGGGTCAACAAGATTTGCCGATTTGATCAGATATTGGAAGTAAATTAGTTATAGGTCACCTTAATTAGAGTGAGCATTAAACATGACTATTAAAGTGTACATCTGTTAATTGAATGAATGCATCAAATAAATCAGTTAATGAAATTACTTACAAGTCAGTTTAATTAATTATCTCTATCTATAAAAGGCAGGATGTGTGAGTGGGCCCCAATTTTCGACGGATTTGCACCAAAATTTACATGCACATGCTCCAAGTTAGCGGGAAGGCCAAGACCGACTCCCATTGATAGTGGAAATAATCGATTTTTTCATGCTTCTACGGCAGTTTTCATGTAGTTTGCGGCCATTTTGTACTGGCCAGAGTGAGAGCCTATAGCTGGCTGCCACGAATAGGTAGGGAGATTCTATTGGCCAGCATGAGAGCCAACAGCTGACTGATACGAATGGTAACTAGCATGCTAGCATGCACAAAAAAATCGATAGCTGCATTCGTCACAAGTGGGAAAAATTTAAATCTGTATGGCACTTTACTCCAATTGGCTCATTCGCTTGCTTAAACTCAACGTTGATTCTGATTCCGTAGAACAGGGTTGGGTGTGAAAATGTATTTGTTGTTAACATTCTTTTTTCATTCGATTTTTTCAGTTACGAGTCCTTTTTTTAAAGTTGATCGTTTTGTGTTCATTTTGTTTAGTTCTTTTTTTTAGATTTAATGTTTAGTATAGAGCTTAGAAAGTGTGAGATATGCAAGAAGTAAGGCATGTAGCAACATCAGCACGGCAAAGGGCACTCCTTTAAAGGCAAGGAAGGGCAAAAATATTTTAAGTCAAGTGATAGCGATTGCTGTATGAGTCGTATGATTTTTGAATCAAGCAGGGGCAACGCCGTGCTATGATGCTAGTATTCAATATAATTAAAGGTTGTTCCAATAACTTCGACCGATTTTAAAAGTGAATTCCAGAGCTAGCAACCCCTTATGTCTTAGTGGCTTTACTGTGTTGCTTGGGGCAAAAATTAAAAAATAAATAGGCTTTAATCAAATAGAAGGTTCTATCAGATATAGTAATTATAAGTTATTTAATTACTATTCAATTTAATGAAAGAGAAGAATAAATAAAATTACTGGGCTGATTAGACACCGGGCATCTAAAAGACTCTATCAAATCCGAGAATTAAATCATTTCAGTGTTAGCCAAGTTAGACACGTCCGATAATATTATAGTCCATAAGGATTCAATATAGGGATTCTTTTCTGTGTCCCCTAAATAGAAACCTTCAAAAACTGTAGTCAGGTGACGTCAAATAATCATGAGCGGCTACTAAATAAATTATTTTTCAGTACTCAGCCATGTGAATACATCCAGCAAAGAACGTCGTAAAGTAGGTAAACCACTGCTTGTGGTGGACTACTTAGACAACATATTACCCCACACACACACTTACAATAGTAACCAACGTATTTATGAGGATTGGAAGATTCCCATTAGTGTTCATAGGTACGGTATATAACATTATCTATCTATCTATCTATCTATCTATCTATCTATCTATCTATCTATCTGTCTGTCTATCTATTGTAATCTAGAATGGATTACTGAATGTGGAATAACCAAACGGAGGTTGGAGATGAAATGGTTATCTTTATACTCGCCAGCGGCATGAAGTAGGTAAACCACTGCTTGTAGTGGACTACTTAGACAACATATTACCCCACACACACACTTACAATAGTAACCAACGTATTTATGAGGATTGGAAGATTCCCATTAGTGTTCATAGGTACGGTATATAACATTATCTATCTATCTATCTATCTATCTATCTATCTATCTATCTATGAGTTCCTTTATATCTATCTATCTATCTATCTATCTATCTATCTATCTATCTATCTATTGTAACCTAAAATGGATTACTGAATGTGGAATGACCAAAACGGAGGTTGGAAAAGAAATGGTAATCTTTATAACATCAACAAAATACAATACTCGCCAGCGGCGTGAAGTAGGTAAACCACTGCTTGTGGTGGACTACTTAGACAGCATATTACCCCCACTTACAGTATTAACCAACGTATTCATGAGGATTGGAAATACCTTTAGTATTCAAGGATAAAAGGGGGTAACCGAAGAGGTGACAGATGGTTATGTAGAGACCCAAAGAACGTTTCAACGATTATGCACATAACGCTCCCGATAACTGTGATAGTTTTGGGGAGTCGTCAGCAACGAGGGAAATGTTTTTTCCTTATTACATCTTTCCTCGGGACTTAAGGGTCAATAGAGCTGACTATAAGGAGGCACATAAGGCTAATGGTTTGTGGTTCGAACTGAGGAATCGGATAGCCGAGTTCGAATTCTAGTCGAGATCATTACTTCCACTTACGTGCTAATACCCTTGGGAAAGGTATGAATTCAATTCTTATCCCCCCCCCCTCAGCTATGGGTAAATAAGACAGACTGGATTCCATCGCACTGGGTGGCAGCTGGTCTATGAGAAAAAAATTGTGAAGCATATAATATGCAGCAAAAGGAAAGGCTTGTTCGCATTGGCTTGACGATCCAGACTATGGTCGACTTTTATAAGGAGGTGCTGGAGAGGGTTGCGATGACTTGAATAGAGAGCATGAGCAAAGGAAGACCGTGCACATATCAACACGACGCTTCGCCGTCTCATAAGGCCAAGACGTCCCAAGAATAGATGAGTTACAATCCTTACGATCATGTCATCCCAAACATATGGCCTTCTAGATCTCCACATATGAACCGGTTGGTCTGCTACGTATGGGGCGTAGTCGAGAAGGAAGTCCATTAACGCCGACATCACGTTATAAAATTTCTGAAATACGGCTTAACTAGCCCAATGTCCAGAATAGATAGGTATCCTCTAATTCGAATATTTGCTTGTTCTTTACGGCTTATCAACCTTTTGCAGTTTATTTAAAGCCGGAAAAATATTTTTAGATTCTAAAGAATTCTTTAGAGATAATAATGATATATAGATGCAAGTCATACTAATTAACCAATGTATGCGAGGGTGAAGAAGATTTGGATTCACACCATTCCCAAATGTATTTGCGCGTAAGTGAATATAACGAACCCAACTGGAATTGGAACTCGTATCTACGATTTCCAATTCCGAACCGTTATCCATTGCACGACGCGCACCCCCACGGTTACAGCACCTGATATTCCCAAGCAGTTACACATCTAAGCACTAATCCGTCTCGACCTGCCAGTGATCGTACGAGAACCGGTGTTTCAACGTGATATAGCCGTTAGTCATACCAGCCTCACATCCTGGCTTATTGCATCTGTTACTCCCAAACGTTCGCCAATCTAGGTAAATTTTAAACTTTTTTTGCTTAACTTCAGGGATCGTACGAGAACCGGTGTTTCAACGTGATATGGCCGTAAGTCATACGAGCCTCACATCCTGGCTTATTGCATCTGTTACTCCCAAACGTTCGCTCATCTAGGTACTGACCAAGCTTGACGTTGCTTAACTTCAGGGACCGTATACGAGAACCGATGTTTGAACGTGATATAGCCGTAAGTCATACCAGCCTCACATCCTGGCTTATTGCATCTGTTTCTCCCAAACGTTCGCTCATCTAGGTACTGACCAAGCTTGACGTTGCTTAACCTCAGGGACCGTACGAGAACCGGTGTTTCAACGTGATATAGCGGTAAGTCATACAAGCCTCACATCCTGCCTTACTGCATCTGTTACTCCCAAATGTTCGCCCATCTAGATACTGACCAAGCTTGATGTTGCTTAACTTCAGGGATCGTACGAGAACCGGTGTTTCAACGTGATATAGCCGTAAGTCATACCAGCCTCACATCCTGTCTTATTGCATCTGTTACTCCCAAACGTTCACCCATCTAGGTACTGACCAAGCTTGACGTTGCTTAACTTCAGTGATCGTACGAGAACCGGTGATTCAACGTGATATAGCCGTAAGTCATACCAGCCTCACACCCTTGCTTAAGTTAAACAACGTCGAGCCTGGTCAATACTTCGATGGGTGACCACTTGGGAATACTAGACTCTGTAAGCTTAGATTTACGGGTGCTGTAACGGATGCTGGCTCTGAATTGTTAATCGGTGAGTCGAGTTTCAATTCCAGTCGGGTTCATTATATTCATTCACTTACGCACAAATATCATTGGGAAAGGTATGAATCCACCGCTTCTGCCCCCAGCTATGGGTTAATTAGTAAATCTTGTATTCCCCAAATCATTATTACCACCAAAAAATAAAATTGCGTCCTACTGGCTTCCCGCCTTGCTTGGGGTGAAACACTTAAAAAAAAAAATGCCGTCTATCGTATTTGGTACAAAAGCGAAATATCCTGTTTTATTAGTATAGATAATTCCTGTAATCCCCCTCTTTAGTTTTCTAAAGATTAGGAAAAACATTTATGCATTTTAATTATATGAGACGAAATCAGCAGTTTCGGATATCAACTGGAGAAAAGTCCTGTAACGGATAAAAAGAAGCTGCTATATTTCCTATGATATCATGGGAAGGATTTATTAAACCTACGCGTGAACTTGCATTTACTTCCCTTGATTTCATTCCTAGGTATGACGATAAACTACAACCGGCAGCAAGTCATCTGATCGGGAGATTTGAGGTTTTGAGGAGCGTTGAACCACCTCTTATTTGCAGTTGTTCACAGGTCCACCCTGACCCGGGGTGGTAGCACCTGTTAGGGTCCCAGCTATGGGCAAATTGTGAACCTCCAAACAAAAACAAAACTCTATGAATGTATAAAAATATATATGCAAAAACGCCAGCAATTCATTTATATGATTGCTGGTATTTTTGCTCTAAAAAAAAAAAAATCTATTTTTATACATTCATAGTGTTTTGACCCCAGTTTGGGGGTTAACTATTTGCTCATGGATGGGACCCTAACAGATGCTACCACCTCTGTTCAGTGTTGACCTGGGAACAATAGCATTTAAGAGGGGATTCCACTATGCTCAAAAACTCCCCGATCAGTGGCCTTATTTTAGGATGTAGTTTATCCTCATAGCCAGGACGCGATATCACAAGAAAGATTTATTAAAATGAATTAGAATTTTAGTATTATATATATATATATATATATATATATATATATATATATATATATATCGTAAATACGATCCAATTCATTAGACCTACAAATTCAAAAAGAAAACAGAAAAAAACAACCCCGGAAATAAAAAATAGAATTCAGAGAGAGTGTAAGTATGAGAGTGCGGGACGAATGTTAGAGCTAAAGAGAGGGGTAACAGACGAGAGAAGGTGGGAGATTAAAACTTAATAGAGAGAAGTTTTAGAGAGGTGAGTTGAAGACGGTTTAATGAGAGAAATATGAAGGTTGCCGTATGTCTAATACATTAAAGATGTAACCGGAATGTGTATGCGTATATTTACCACTAATATTATCTATCTATCTATCTATCTATCTATCTATATATATATATATATATATACATATATATATATATATATATATAAAAGAGTTGAAATATAAGGTATGCAAGTGTTTGTTTATATTATTAAAAAATGCCGTAAAACAGAAAAAAACGGCCCTAGCACAAGACCCCTTTGTTTAATTTTAATGAAATTTGACACTGCACTCGCTAGATGTTCAAGGTAAAATATGCTTCTGAATTGGTAGGGGGTATTATGTATCATTTAAGCCGATGGAGTAATGAATAGTGGCTCGGATTGAGGAATCTGAGAGCCGAGTTCGAATTCCAGTCGAATTCATTACATTCATTTAACTTTCATAATTCACAATAACTTTGTGAAAGGTATGAATCTTTTTCTTCTCCCCCCACCCCAATTAAGGAATCATGACAGACCGGGTTCTATAGCCTAGGATGGCAACTGGTCTACCGCAGAAAGAAATGGCAACCTACTGCGGTGAAAAATCTGCCTCGTCAGTCATGTATCGAAAGATACATGATCACCTCAGCGTGTATCACGCATGGCACATAACTGACTGACTGATTGATCTCATACTATGACTTAAGATATGTACTCTTTAAATTTCGTTCATTTTAACAAAAAGGTAAAATTCGGACAGAACTTATGGGATGACCTGATAAATCAAAATGACCAACAATACATTTTATCTGTAGTTGAAGGCATATAATGGCGTTCAAAATATATTCGTTTGAAGTCTGTTCAAATTATTTACATTTCGGCATTAAAGCAATTTTCTAGGCGTAGCTGAGATGTAGCACAAGGCCGAATGTATGGGACACCCAGTGAGGATCGAACTCATTACTCAGTCGTAATTGTTCTAACGAGAGAAGCTTGCTAACCATTACACCGCCTCGAGGTTGCACACAATCCGGCATTAAATAACCCATAGAGGTTGATAATCAGTGAAACGAAATCAACCAATTAACCAATATTTCGTCGTCGATTTTACCGATTTACGCGCAGTGAGGAATCGGAGAGCTGAGTTCGAATTCCAGTCGAATCCATTACATTCACTTATGTGTTAATACCCCTGGGGAAGGTAAGAATCCTCTTCTGTTGCCCCGTTATGGGTAAATAGCAGGACAGACCGAGTTTGATAGCCTTGGGCGGCAACTGGTCTACCGCAGAAAGAAATGGCAACCTACTGCGGGAAAAAATCTGCCTCGTCAGTCATGTACCAAAAGATACATGATCGTCTAAGCGTGTATCGTACATGGCACATAACTGACTGATTGATTGATCTCATACTATGTCTTAAGATATGTTCTGTCATCATTATTCCATTTAATTGACGACTGAGCTTATGTTGTTTTTGTTGTTGTAAGAACAACGTTTCTTGATGACCTATTCGATACCAAGGCTAGAGAACGTCTATGTCAACTAGGCCAAAACAAAAAAAAAACCCTGGGAAAGGTATGAATTCTCTTCTTCTTCCCCCAGCTATGGGTAAATATCAGGATAGATCGTGTTCTATAGCCTTGGATGACAACTGGTCTTCCGCAAAAAAAAAAAAAAAAAAAAAATGGCAACCTACTGCGACAAAAAAATCTGCCTTGTCAGTCATATATCGAAAGATACTAAGTGTGTATCACGCATGACACATAAAAAAACACTAGATTAGCAAATACGTCTCTTAATTTCACTGTTTAAATTGCTAGTCGTAAGCATAATTGATATGGCGCGAAACAAAATCAACCAAACAAACAATTTAACACAATATTCAACAGCCAGGCAGCATCTGCGTCGAAAACCTAATAATGCGAACAACAAGTTTGAAGATATTATAGCCCACATACCTTGTGGAATCAGGACTAAGCTTTCGTTATCTTAGAATTTAAAAAAAAAATGGTTAAAAAACCTGGCTGGAACTTATCACTTGCCGACAGAGTGAAAAATTTTTTTTTCTTTCCTTTCTAAGTACTTTCGACAATTTTCTCGTCAGTATCTGTTTTCTTTTGCTTCGGGCCTTGTGTTTTATTAAAAAAGACGAGAAATCTTTCTTGGCGAAATTTCCCCAACGGAAAGAATGCAAGAGACATGACACCAGGATGCGATTCGGCGTCGCCGAAGGATAAAACCGCCGCAATAGACTCATTAAGAAAATATTGAAGAAATCTTCTACGGGTTATCAAAGACACGCCCGTTGGCGTTATTATTTGAATATCCTATTTGCATGAGACGATGAAATTGTTTTTTTTTTTTTCATAATGACGTATCTACCTGTCTTTCTATCAGATCATATTTTCGCATCTGTATTTATCGATCGATAGATTTCTTTTCTTTCTTTTTTTTTTATTGTAAATATCTATCTGTTCGTATGTGAGTTCATCGATAAATACAACTGTAGCGGATCGCAGCAAATATTGTAAAGTGGCCTCCTCACTGAGACGAGATGTGACACAAGGTTAGATCAAACGTGGGAAGCCCGAGCGCGTAAACCCAACCCAAGGTTGCGCTGGCATCGGAATAACTATCTCCTCTCTTTAGTGTAATGTGGTGTGCAGCAATGTGCATCTTTTTACCTGGACAGGACACTTTGCATTATTTATTTTTCTCAGTTATCTATGTCCGCAGACAGAAGCACAACTGAGTCGCACTCTGCCCGAAGACAAAGACACAACTGAGAGATGATAAACTGTTATATTCCGTGCTAATAGGAATAAAAAATAAGTAAAGGTTTATTGTAAAAACCAGTGCAATAAGAATAAGAGTAAAAGTTATGCGCAAGGTCGTCGCAAGTCAATCCAGTAGTGAGTGCTACTACTAGAAGGTCGGTAGTTCTCGCGTAAGTCTGAGTCGTACTCAATAGATCCCAGCTAGACAATATTTACCAGCCTCCCCCACGAAATAGGATGCGGCACAAGGCCGAATTTAATATAGGGAAATCCGAGCTCATAGGCTCAGCCAAAAAATCCCCGTAGACCCTTATAAACGGGATCGGGTCTGTCTACCTCCCCGAAGGAGACTCTGCCATTCGGCATAGCCTCGTCCGGTTTCCTCTCTGTCCGACAACAGCAAAGAACTGAGTAACAGATCTCAGCTAGCATATTTAGCTACCCCCCCACCACCACCACGAGGGTTGCTTGTGCCACATAGGCCGGTGTAGCGTGGGTTCTCTGAGCCCGTAGGCTCGGTCAAAAATATTACCTTTTTGAACCCGCATAAACGGCTTCAGGGGCAGTGTACCTTCCCGAACGGGTTTCTCTCTGCCCGAAGGCAGAGAGTTCGACTAAATTGAACAGAACAGGGTCACCCCCCCCCCCACGTGGGCTGCATGTGACTCAAGGCCAGTTTAATGTGTGTTCTCTAAGCCCGTTGGCTCGGCCAAAAATATTCCCTTTCAAGGGGCAGTCTACCTCCCCGAACGAAACTCTGCCCTTCGGTGTAGCCTCATCCGACTTCCTCTCTAGAGTTTGACTGTCTAGCTGGAACAGGTCGCAGCTAGACTTACAGATACTTACAGATACTTATAGGTAGTTACTACCTATAGTGTAGTCACTCATGGGGGTGACAGGTTATTCCATTACATCATAAACCCTACCCGACATTCATACTGGCGATTTACTAAGCGTAGCTTAGATGTGGAATATCCGAAAGTATGTAGCAGCCAGTGAGGATCGAACTCAGTACTCAGTCGTGATTAATCTAGCAAAGCAAACTTGCCAACTATCACACCACGTCGAAGACCACATGGAGGCACTATTCTTAGACCACTTAGAGGTACCATTCCTTTTGGGAAAGCTTGGCAGTACAACGCGTTGGCCGCAACGCGATTGCCGTGTGTTACCAATGATTTCTGTTTGTCATCCACTGTCGTTTCAAATTCGTTTTGTCCTTGTTTGTGATTCTGGTGCCTTGGCTGCGTTCGTTCGTCCTCCTACGCGTGGTCTTCCCCTATGGAAGTCTTCACCCTAACCCTGCTCGTCGTGATCCAGTGTTTGATTCCGGTGCCGCTGCGTTTTCCGTCCAATATATACTGCTCATATATATATATATTGGAATCAAAGGGCGTAATAGTAGTCACTCATGGAAGTGACAGGTTATACGCCTAATAGAAGTAACTGAGAATAGTTCGATGTGGATATGGAAAAAAACGAAATACTCCGTGGAGTGTTTCAGCGAACATGACGGCATGACATGACTGATCGTGAATGCGTAATGAGGTTCACGTTGCATTCCCAGAACGCGAGGTTTGCCGTTTTTCGGAATTATCGTAAATTTAATTTCGCCGTTACACATTTGAACTAGTTTATCTACAACACTTGTATATCGTTATAATGGGGCCTCACATCAGTGAATGGGGGCGGTGTGCAACTGAAACCGTTGAGAGGAAGGCCCCGAAACGGTGCACATTCTCTCCTGATGACCCCAGTTTAAAATTCGAGAGGAACACATCAACATTCAATGAAGTCATATGCCGTAGTGAAGCTCGGTGGAAGTGTCATTGGCATGAGGAGCATTACACATTCAGCTCGCTTCAAGTGAGTTTCAATTACTTTCCAGTAATTTCCTTCTTATATATAACATGAATTTCAGTCACGAGTGAAACAAATTCATGTTTTGGTTTGGTTTGATGGTTAATCGGTATATCAACCCTTTACGGGTCATTTAATGCTGACATTTTACTTTGTGGCTTTTGGTAATTTTTTTCCCAATAATAAAGTGTTGGTAATTCTTTTTTTAACAGTATTAAAAAGCAGAAAGACTTGTAATTACAACGGGTAATTTATTGTTAAAACAGATATATTTCGGTAAGCTTTTTGCAATCCCTGATCACTCTTGAGAAATAAATGAACCAGTGACTAAACAACATTGCATACGTTATAAATTCAAATTAACAAAAAAAAAATCGATCGAATTAAGTTGGTGAAACATGCGTAAGATGAAAGTGTGAGAATTGCTTAAAGAAAAAAATTAGTAGGGAAGTCTATGCAGGGTGAAATTGTACTTCATCAATTCTATTACAGACATTTTTGGTACTTGCTTTTATCATTTGTTCAGCTTACCCGTCTTTGGTTGAATTTGTATTGGTTGGTCAATTTTATTTCAGGTTGGTCAAAGTCTACTTCATGACCTTCTTTGATGGCATGAAGTGCAATGGCTGATGACTTCCTAGGTTTTTTTTTTTTCGGTCGGTTTCATTTCTATGACCTTAGTACAAAGACGCCGATGTTTGACAATTCTTTCTTTTAGTGATCTGGAGGTCATGCCAATATAAATAATGATCCTAACAAATCCTTTAAATGTATTACATATAAAAAAAAATTGAAAAAGTCTAATCTAATTATTGCCAATAACTCAGGACCTCAAAAATCCACTCTACAAAAGTAATGCTTTTATATTTTTTTTTCTTATTTCACCCAAAGCAAGGCGATAATGCCACTGAGACGCCAGAGTGAAAAAGAATGAGAAGACTTTAGTGAGGAGAAGTGAGGAAAAGGAATCGGATTTAGAAGACAAAAAAATGACGATTGATGTTGCATTTAAATTTTAGAAGATTGTAGATAGCAGGGAAGAAAGAAATTAGAAGGGAGTTCCACAGGTGAGAAGTGCGAGGGAATAAACTATTAGAATAGAACTTACGGTTGCATCTATCTAGTTCAACAGTAAAACGTCTATTTCGTGACCTTCTTTGATGGCGTGAAGTGCAATTACTGATGGCTTCTCTATGCATTGTTGATAATTTTTATATTTTCATGTTTCGACCCAAGTTTGGAGATTCACTATTTGCCCATAGCAAGGATCCTAATAAATGCTATCCCCGCCCGGGCCGGAGTAGTCCTGGGAACAACCAACTCTCCAGACTGCAACCCCCTTGATTATTATGTGTGGGGCGCAATTGAGTTGAAAGACCAACAAAACTCCTTGTAACAACAAAGAAGGCAGGGATTATGGCAACATTCACCAACATAAACTAGAAGATCGTCTCGAAGAGTTGCAGGAGATTCCGAAGTCGTCTAGAAGCCGTTGTTTGAAGCCAATGACGATTTTATTGAATAAATTTACTCTTTAGTATTTCAAGATTTTTTTTTTCTAATATTTTTGGTAAATATATCCGTTAAAATGAGATGTCAGTGTTATTTTCAATTTTGCGTCATTGAGACGACAATTTATCCATCGCATCCTGTATTGTAACTGAAAATCGATGATGGGAACATTCCCTGAATTTAAGAAAAAAAAAAAAAAGAAATCTTGAAAAGATACTAGGCCATTGAAAAACTGAAAAGATATTAGACCATTGAAAAACTGAAAATATATTAGGCCATTGAAAAACTGAAAAGATATTAGGCCATTGAAAAACTGAAAAGATATTAGGCCATTGAAAAACTGAAAATATATTAGACCATTGAAAAACTGAAAAGATATTAGGCCATTGAAAAACTGAAAAGATACTAAGCCATTGAAAAACTGAAAAGATATTAGGCCATTGAAAAACTGAAAAGATATTAGGCCATTGAAAAACTGAAAAGATACTAAGCCATTGAAAAACTGAAAAGATATTAGGCCATTGAAAAACTGAAAATATATTAGACCATTGAAAAACTGAAAAGATACTAGGCCAAGTAAAACTGATTTTGCGAATACTGTCAAAGAAATCTTTAGGGAACATGTTACGGGTAAAGGTCAATTATATCATTTTATCTTATGGGCATTTTGGGTACCTCTAGGTGGTGTAATTGTTAGCAAGCTTGTCTCGCTCAGAACTATTGCGACTGAGTAGTGAGTTCGATCCTCGCTGGGTACCCCATACTTTCGGTCTTGTGCCGCATCTGAGCTACACTTGGAAAATCTCCATCTTATGGGAAGTTGGAATAAAATAAACGAATAAGGAATGATTTGTTTTATTGTATTGAGGATTTGAAGTAAAATCGACGAAAGAGCTGCCTAAAAAAAAGAGGGGGGGCAAGACTGATGCACAAGCCACATTAATAATTTTATTTGGCCTCTTTTTTACATTTAATGTAAAATATATATGGCTTTTCCTTGCCATGGTACAGGGCTTGCGTGCCCCAGGGATCCCAACAGCAAAGCCGTATGGAGTTCCAACTCCTGTGGAGTCACTCATGGCGGTAAGATCGAAGAGGAAGCACCAGACTGAACGTGACCACCCCCCGCCCAGACGATTGCAGATTTTTTACTGTTCGAATATTCAGGGAAACACTAATAACTAAAGGGAGAAACCTATAATATACAATATAATAATATACAGTATATAAGGATGGCGTGACAAGGCAGACCAAGCATCTGCCAGATCTCGCCTGTGTCGATCCCCTTCGAGCTGCGAGGGCGGGGCTTCTGGCTAATTCCATGGTTATAATTAATTACATTGGAATCGTAATCACGATCCAATTCACCACTCCTACGAATTCAAAAATTACATACATATGTGTCAATATACAGGATGTCAAAAAAAAAATATACTCATTTTTGACTTCCTATAACGTTTGCGTTTTTTTTTTCAGGTCTAGGCATTTAATTTCATCTAATCATACTTATAAAACCCAGGTTGTTGTGTGTGTGTGTGTGTGTGTGTGTGTGTGTGTGTGTGTGTGTGTGTGTGTGTGTGACTGTACGTTGATATATTGGATCGGATTTCCTACATTTTTCAACCGATTTCAACAAAACTTCACAGGCCGACGTAAAATTACCTTGCGGTGGTTTTGACAGCACCAAAAATTGGAAAAACACAATTGGTTTTGCGCGAAATCAATTTGAAAACACGATTAAGAGGCATCGCTGTCGAGAATGAAAGGGGGACAACTCATATCGAGTTATACTTATTATAAAACCCAGGTTGTGTGTGTGTGTGTGTGTGTGTGTGTGTGTGTGTGTGTGTTCGTTTATATATGGGATCGGATTTCCTACATTTTTCAACCGATTTCAACAAAACTTCACTTTTTTTTGGCAGGTAGTGTTTCTTATTGTCTTTCACACTTTTTTCTTTTTTTTATTACATTCAGAATTCTTTAAAAATTCCATTTACAAGACAATTGTTTATAATAAAATTCTATTCAATCGGTATTTCATGGAAGATTGAAGTTTATAAGCAGTAAATTCAACCTTGCCAACCGAACGATCCTTTGTGGCCGAGTCGGTTAAGGCACGTCAGCGTAAATGACGGTTCCGTATAGGATGCAGGTTCGAATCCTGTCAAAGGACGAATATATTCTATGAAAATTTCTCGGACATTCAGGCCGGTAAATGTTATTTAATACTGTTTATTATAAACAGAGCATTTACTTAAATACTTGTATCTATAAAATAACAACGTTAAACATAAAAATGTCTTTAATAAATAAAGAACAATGTAGATCCAATAATAAAGCCCTGGAAGACCTCCGCATTTATGTGAAATGATGTAGAAGCGTTGATCTTCAACATGAACTTCATTACATAATTTCGGAAATACTGAATGATACAGTCTTTCTCGCATTGAGCTGTCATGCTCAAGTCAGATAGATTTTTGAATGTACATCCATAAACTCTGGTATCGTCTGCATATACAAGGTGTGGCAAAAGTAACGCTTATTTTTATTTATTTTATCAATTTATTTTTGCTTAATAGCAAAAATAAATTAGAGTACTTTAATAAAATGTACATGATATGTTATGATTGACAAACTATTTAACATGTTTAAATTCTGCCCGTCATGCTTAATACAATGCTGAACCATATCAGCGACACTTCTACAAACCATTTGATATCTTTCGACATTAATTAGTACATCCCACAAGGAAAAGTCTGGCTCCATCTTGTTTTATCCACCTCAACGCGAAATTAAGATTTAATCATCTAGAAAAGCGAAATTAAGATTTAACCATCAAGGAACGCGAAATTAAGATTTAACCATCCGGGAACGCGAAATTAAAATTTAACCATCGGGGAACGCGAAATTAAGATTTAATTATCTGTGAACGCGAAATTAAGATTTAACCATCTAGGAACGCGAAATTAAGATTTAACCATCTAGGAACAGGAAATTAAGATTTAACCATCCGGGAACGCGAAATTAAGATTTAACCACCCGGGAACGTGAAATTAAGACATAACCATCCAGGAACGCGAAATTAAGATTTAACCTTCCAGGAACGCGAAATTAAGATTTAATCATTTAGGAACACGAAATTAAGATTTAACCATCCGGGAACGCGAAATTAAGATTTGACCATCCGGGAACGCGAAATTAAGATTTAACCATCTGAGAACCCAAAATTAAGATTTGACCATCTCGGAACGCGAAATTAAGATTTAACCATCGGGGAACGCGAAATTAAGATTTAATTATTTAAGAACGCGAAATTAAGATTTAACCATCCAGGAACGCGAAATTAAAATCTAATCATCCAGGAACGCGAAATTAAGATTTAACCATCCGGGAACGCGAAATTAAGATTTAACCATCGGGGGAACGCGAAATTAAGATTTAATCATTTAAGAACGCGAAATTAATATTTAACCATCTAGGAACACGAAACTAAGATTTAACCATCCGGGAACGCGAAATTAAGATTTAACCATCTAGGAATGCGTAAGTCATTGAAGTATTGGAATTTATTTTTGTTCAATAAAAGATAATAAAAAAAGAGGGCCTTACTTTTGTCGCAACCGGTATATTTACAAAAGATCTGATAATGTTCTTTGGCTAGTTATTAACGACTATTTTCTTGGACCTAGCTGATAGGAAGGAATGGACAATTGAGAAAACTCTTCCAGAGATTCCATAGCTGGAGAGTTTGGTTTGGTTTGGTTTGATTTGTTTTACGGCAGATGAACCTCAATGAGTTATTAAATGCAGAAAATGTTTATTGCTAGTAATATTTTTTTCCAAAAATGTATTTCTGGTAATAATTTCTTTTACAGAAAAATATTTCTGTTATTAAAAGTTATTTTACACTTTCATAGTGTTTTGACCCCCAGTTTGAGGGTTGACTATAACTGGGACCCTGACAGGTGCTACCAGCTCGGGACGGGGGGGACCTGGGAACACCAGCAATTAAGAGGTGGTTCCACTCTCTTCAAAAGCACCTGATCAGAGATCTTGACGTAATTTATCGTCTTACCCAGCACGCGGATGTAGTTTATCGTCTTGCCCAGGACGCGGACGTAGTTTATCGTCTTACCCAGTACGCGATTGTAGTTTATCGTCTTACCTAGTACGCGGACGTAGTTTATCGTCTTACCCAATACGTGGACGTAGTTTATCGTTTTACCCAAGATGCGGATGTAGTTTATCGTCTTACCCAAGACGCGGATGTAGTTTATTGTCTTACCCAGTATGCGGACGTAGTTTATCGTCTTACCCAAGACGCAGATGTAGTTTATTGTCTTACCCAAGAAGCGGATGCAATTTATTGTCTTACCCAGTATGCGGACGTAGTTTATCGTTTTACCCAAGACGCGGATGTAGTTTATTGTCTTACCCAAGACGCGGATGTAGTTTATCGTCTTACCCAGTATACGGACGTAGTTTATCGTCTTACCCAAGACGCGGATGTCGTTTATTGTCTTACCCGGAACATGAAGTTTCGTTCATCTTTTGCGACATTTTGGCACAATTTAAACTCGTATGATATGATCAATCGACATTATTATCATTTTCTGTGGAGCTATAAAAATATTTTTTATGCAAACAATTACCCCCACAAAAAAATTAGACAATTTTGGTAGAATTGTTAAAAAAACGTTTGGCAATTCTTTTGTTGTTTTTGTTGTTGCTGAAAAGTCAACAAACAAAAAAAAAATACGACAGTTCATTTAGGACAACCTAATAGTAATGTCTAATATATAAAAAAAATAAATAAATAAAAATAAATCCTGTATTCAGTTCATTCGTAAGATCGATTTTTCTCCATTGAACAACTTGACAGATTTTGAACGCCCAGCCTTGCACTTCAATGTCCAGCGCCTATTAACCGTGAGTGAAAGCAGTTCAATAAAAACTGCAAACGTCTTTCGGTGCGAATCACTTCGGCGTCTGTCACCGGTGAATTCACAGAACTGTGGATCAATACTACGATTCAAATAAAGTGCATCTTCAGACACTTGCTACGTCAAGTGGAAAGAGACATTGATCGCCGGGAGATATGGTGGCTGACGCAGGTGAATTTGCTTGTCTAATTTTTCATCTGTCTTTTTTCTTTCATTATTTTATTCCATACAGTGTTGCGGTTAGAAACGGTGGTTGAAGAATGGATTCTAGAGTAATCAGGAAACAACTAGAAAAAGAAAAAAGAAAAAAACCTCCTGGGCAGATTCCCCATCAGACAATTGCCAGTGGTGTCTGTCTTGGCGGGGGTGGGTTGAGTTATCTTTGATTCTGGGGTGTCGCTAATATTGCTGCATACAAGAAATTCTCCTGAGGATACTTACCATTCCTTCATCGGGTCACATGGGTTGCAGGAATATATTCATACCAAATTGGAAAAGAGAATCGACGGAAGAGTTCCCCTATGGCTATACCTGCCGAATTATGTCAGACGACGTTATCCACATCTGCAATCATGAGCTACGAGCCAGGTCATCTCATATACCACAAAATAACGTTTATCTATGTATCTATCAGACATTTGTTGATCTATCTATCTATCTATCTATCTATCTATCTATCTATCTATCTATCTATCTATCAGACATTTGTTGATCTATCTATCTATCTATCTATCTATCTATCTATCTATCTATCTATCTACGCACACGCATATCTATCTATCTATCTATCTATCTATCTATCTATCTATCTATCTATCTGTCAGACATTTGTGGATCTATCTATCTATCTATCTATCTATCTATCTATCTATCTATCAGGCATTTGTTGATCTATCTATCTATCTATCTATATTTTCAAACGGTTCATATCTATCTATCTATCTATCTATCTATCAGACATTTGTTGATCTATCTATCTATCTATCTATCTATCTATCTATATTTTCAAAAGGTTCATATCTATCTATCTATCAGACATTTGTGGATCTATCTATCTATCTATCTATCTATCTATCAGACATTTGTTGATCTATCTATCTATCTATCTATCTATATTTTCAAACGGTTCATATCTATCTATCTATCTATCTATCTATCAGACATTTGTTGATCTATCTATCTATCTATCTATCTATCTTTTCAAAAGGTTCATATCTATCTATCTATCAGACATTTGTTGATCTATCTATCTATCTATCTATCTATCTATCTATCTATCTATCTATCTATCACACGCATATATATATATATATATATATATATATATATATATATATATATAAATATATATATATATATATGCAAAATTATAATTGGTAGAGGACTTTTATTCCATATGACAGCTCAATGTATGATATAGAGCAAATAATAATAATAATAATAATTAGAAAATAAAATTAATAATCCTTATTTGGTAATAAATTTATTTCAATGAAATAGGTACATTCATTTCATCAGACCAATTTGATTTTCTGGAATGGAATCAATATATACAGACAGAAAGAAAAAATGCAAGACGAAAAAGTAGCAAAAATAACATAACATTACCATATAATGCAATCATCATTTTGCTCCCATTGAGAGAGAGAGAGAGAGAGAGAGAGAGCACGGTGGAGTAGTGGATAGCGGCTCGGATTGAGGAATCGGACCTTCAAAAAAAGTGGTTGGTTCTGCACAAAGCCTTCACCACTATAATCAAATCACGTGTCTGTCGATTCCTAGGAACCCAGCTGCTTGACCCTCATGCGTCGAATACAACAGGAGAGTCCCCTATATATATATATATATATATATATATATGTATGTCGCCATGCTTCCTCAGATCACATTTCCAATGGTAAAAAATGGTTTTAAATTTACGTATTATTTTTATACATCTTTTGAGGGGTAGTTTTAAGTTGATGTAAGGTGATAGAGAGAGGGGGAGGAGGAGCACAACAGATATGGTCGAAATCAGAGATGGTGGTTTTTCTTGGTTCTAATTTCGACCATATCTGCCATCCTCTTCTGCGGTAGACCAGTTGCCATCCAAGGCTATAGAATCCGGTCAGCCCTGCTATTTACCCAGAAGAAGAGAATTCATACCTTTCCTAAGTTTTTTTTTTTTTTTTGCTTTTGTTTTGGCCTAAATGACATAGACACTCTCTACCCTTGGTATCGAATAGGGCATCAAGAAACGTTGTTCTTACAACCAAAAAAAAAAAAAAAAGCTCAGTTTTCTGTAGTAGATTGCCATTTCTTTCTGCGGTAGACTAGTTTCCATCCAATGCTATAGAACCCAGCCTGTCCTGCTATTTATCCATAGCTGGGAGAAGAAGAAGAGGATTCATACCTTTCCCAAGGGAATTAGCATATAAGCGAATGTAATGAATCCAACTGGAATTCGAACTCGGCTCTCCGATTCCTCAGTCCGAGCCACTATCTCTTACTACATCGTGCCACATACTATACAACTAATGAAAGGATCATTCGCATTGGCTCGACGATCCCGAATATGGTCGAATGATAATGATGATACCAACGTGGTAAAATTTTCAGCGATTTCTATCTGAATTTCTATGATGAGAAATTATTTGCATTCGGACTCATGTTATGAATCTCCAATTACTACGATCTTAACCTGTTTAAGTCAAGGGTCAGCCGTTGTCTTCCACATATATACCCTTAAACTGCGTTTTCATACACTGTAAGATTCTACCTCGAGTGCTTCTTGGGTCTTTTACAGCCTTTTATCGGATGAAATTTAGTAATAAGTAAAAGTTAGAAATTTCTGAACCAATATTTTAATTCCCTAAGCAATGGAAGGGTTGTTTAATTCGACTCCCTTGGTATTATCCCCAAGAAGAAAACACTGAGAATGAGGTAGGAAAATGAGACATAAATACAGAAGAAAGTAAACTTTATATAATTAGACTGAAGAACGTAAATATATTAGGCTTAGACAAAAAGAAGATGTATATGATATAATTAAACTGAAGAAAGTGTATATAATATGATTAGGTTGGAGGAAGTGTATATAATACGATTAAACTGAATAAAGTGTGTATAATATGATTAACCTGAAGAAAGTGTATATAATATGATTAGATTGAAGAAAGTGTATATAGGATTAAATACAAGAAAGTGTATATAATATGATTAAACTGAAGAAAGTGTATATAATATGATTAGCTTGGAGGAAGTGTATATAATACGATTAAACTGAATAAAGTGTGTATAATATGATTAAACTGAAGAAAGTGTATATAATATGATTAGATTGAAGAAAGTGTATATAGGATTAAATACAAGAACGTGTATATAATATGATTAAACTGAAGAAAGTGTATATAATATGATTAGCTTGGAGGAAGTGTATATAATACGATTAAACTGAATAAAGTGTGTATAATATGATTAAACTGAAGAAAGTGTATATAGGATTAGATACAAGAAACTCTATATAATATAATTAAACTGAAGAAAGTGTATATAATATGATTAGGTTTGAGGAAGTGTATATAATACGATTAAACTGAATAAAGTGTATATAATATGATTAAACGGAAGAAAGTGTATATAATATTAGACTGAAGAAAATGCTTATCATACATGTCTATATCTCTGAGATGAGGTATTGTGATTACTTACATTATTTACATTATTCGGAAAGTTATCCTCATGTTCATTGCCATATTCATAACGTCTCGGCCGTTGTACGCTCCGGCCTTCTTCAGGTGATTGGAATTTCTAACGAAACTCTTTAACACTTTATCTCGTCTCGGTTCGAAATTTCAATCACCTGAACAAGGCCGGGCGTACAACGTCCGAAACGCTGTAAAAATGCTTCTCATATGATTAGACTGAAGAAAGCGTATATAATATGATTAGATTGAAGAAAGTGTATATAATATGATTAGACTGAAGAAAGTGTATATAATATGATTAGACTGAAGAAAGTGTATGTAATATGATTAGATTGAAGAAAGTGTATATAATATGATTAGACTGAAGAAAGTGTATGTAATATGATTAGATTGAAGAAAGTGTATATAATATGATTAGACTGAAGAAAGTGTATATAATATGATTAGACTGAAGAAAGTGTATGTAATATGATTAGATTGAAGAAAGTGTATGTAATATGATTAGACTGAAGAAAGTGTATGTAATATGATTAGATTGAAGAAAGTGTATGTAATATGATTAGACTGAAGAAAGTGTATGTAATATGATTAGATTGAAGAAAGTGTATATAATATGATTAGACTGAAGAAAGTGTATATAATATGATTAGACTGAAGAAAGTGTATGTAATATGATTAGATTGAAGAAAGTGTATATAATATGATTAGACTGAAGAAAGTGTATGTAATATGATTAGATTGAAGAAAGTGTATGTAATATGATTAGATTGAAGAAAGAGTATATAATATGATTAGACTGAAGAAAGTGTATGTAATATGATTAGATTGAAGAAAGTGTATATAATATGATTAGACTGAAGAAACTGTATGTAATATGATTAGATTGAAGAAAGTGTATATAATATGATTAGACTGAAGAAAGTGTATGTAATATGATTAGATTGAAGAAAGTGTATGTAATATGATTAGATTGAAGAAAGTGTATATAATATGATTAGATTGAAGAAAGTGTATATAATATGATTAGACTGAAGAAAGTGTATGTAATATGATTAGACTAAAGAAAGCTTATATAATACGATTAAATTGAAGAAATTGTATATAATACGATTGGAATGAAGAAAATGTTTACCATATGATTATGTATATATATATATATATATATATATATATATATATATATATATATATATATATATATATATATAGAAAGCGGTACGGGTTGATTTTACTTACAATCATGATTATGTGGTATTATTTACTCTCTCTCTCTCTCTCTCTTTTTCTCATCTTTTTATGTAATAATGGAACCTAAAATTGTAGGTAATTGCATATTAATATTTATAGTCAGTGAAGACTTGCGCACGTGTGACTTGAAGGCAATGATGCCCCCAACTTAAGATAGCACTTGTTAAAATTTCCAGAAATTCCTCTATAGAAGCGCCTATTTTAAGAGGTGCTTCTATAGGGGAATTGACCACCCCCGCAGTTGTAAAATTTATTTAAGAAAATAAAGTCTTGCGTAAAGGTGTTTGTAAACGTTGCGTTACTGAAGTCGTGGTATTTTAAGAGAATCTCATACTGAAGTTCAAAAAGGGTTAAAAAAGAAAGATCTGGTTGAAGCAGAGAGATAGAAGAATGGTGCCGCTGTAAAAGATTTTCCCCGATATCAAAAGAACCTTTTAGAAATGACTATGGAAGCGAAATTTATTAATCAGGAATACTTTTCCGTTTCTTTTGGCGAATTTCAGGAATTCCGACGCTGGCAACAATTTTGTATTAAATATATGATGAAAGATTAAAAAGGTATTTGCGAAACTTTCAATCCATGTAATTCCTAAATGTTCTCTGAGTAGGAGAACAATAGCAACGCAAGAGGCTTCTATGCGCTTTATTGAAAGCCGCGGTTGTCATAAAATTGGAGACATCATTTCGAGTCGCTTCTCTACATCGTAAAAAGAAATCGCTCTCTTTAATAGAGATAGGAAAATGAATTATTGAAGCCTATCTTTTTTTTTTGACATCCAATGAATTGATTAGAGATAGGTAGGGAAATAAGTACATATTTCTATAATGCATTTACAATAATAATAAATATATATATATATATATATATATATATATATATATATATATATATATATATATATTGGTGTACGTGTCTACTGAAAACCTTGAAAATGAATTCGATATATAGACATTTAGTTGTCTGCCTGCGTGTGTGCAGATATTAAGGAAAATCGTGACATATAATTTCGGTTTTAGATTTAACAGCTCACCCATTCAAATGGACTATGGCACAAGAACGAGTTTTGAGTGGCAATTCCACGCATACATGAGTCTGGGGAGCCCGAGAAGGGGTTACCCAGCACTCATGGAAGAATTTGTCTTGCTGGGTGAGTCTAAGTCAATCATCTGAAAATCTTCTTTTTTTATTAAATCAATTAATACCAAACAAGATCATAAGACTAAGACGCAATGGGCAACTGGGAGTAAAACAGAATGAGTAAACTTTAGATGGAACCGGAAACCCAATCCTGAACAGGAAACAAGAGATAAACCTCTACTCCTGTTCAAAAGACCGGAGAGGGGTGTGAGCTGGATGAAATCTAATATCGATTTCTTTAGAATTCCGGCTATATCACGTTGAAACGCCGGTTCTCGTACGATCCCCGATGTTAAGCAACGTCGAGCCTGGTCAGTAACTAGATGGGTAACCGCTTGGTAATACCAGGTGCTATAAGATTGGATGTGTAGGTGGTGATATCGGTAACGGATCGTAATTGGAATTCGGAGACCCGAGTTTCAATTTAAATTCCAGGTTTACAACGTCAAAACCTCCCACAGTAACATCGAAAGTTCCTTCTGCTGTAGCCAGGCGTTGTCGAAGAATAATAATTTTCCTCACTGTTTCATGTTTTTTACTTCGTTTGTTGTTATTTTTATTTTTTCTTGAGCTAAGGAGATGTCCTTGTGCTCCTATGCGCCTACAGACGACGGATTCTGTGACATAGAGATCCGAAAGTACCCCCGATTACCAAAATATACATTCTAGGAGCTAAGGAAAGTATTAACACAGAGAAAATTTTCGAAAAGAAAAGAGAGCTGAACTGCTATATCATATCCATCCTTCTTATATGTCAGTAGACGTTGGGTAATTTCCTCATAGATGATGAAATGACTCGACGAGACAGACATGTGGTTTTACAGCCGAACACCGAAAATACCATGGACACAACACGTAAACAATGGGGAAGTTCTAGAGAAAATGAGAATTCGAAGGAAGCGTATATGTTATGGCAATTTACCTACGCACGCATGGATTCTCCCAGCTATAAATAGGAGCAGGTACTGCCTTTTGGAGAGTGAAGTTTCCAGGAGTCAGCTCTGATGGTCAGAACGAACATTCTTGCTGTAATTTGTATATGATTGTATTACTATTTCTGTTAATATATCTGTTTAACTCAATTCCTCTCTTGTGTCTTTATTCCTGGCCCTAACAAGGCAACAACACTCTCTTCCTACCTACCTACATATATTCCTATCTATCTATCTATCTATCTATCTATCTATCTATCTATCTATGTTTGTTCATTATCTATCTATCTGTTATGGTAATTTACCCACGCACGCATGGAATCCTCTAGCTATAAATAGGAGCAGGTACTGCCTTTTGGTGAGGGAAGTTTCCAGTAGTCAGCTCTGACAGTAGGACCGAAGATTCTTGCTGTAACACTCTCGTTTGTATATGTTTGTATTACTATTTCTGTTAATATATAATGTTTAACTCAATTCCTCTTTTGTGTCTTTATTTCTGGCCCTAACAAAGCCACAACAACTTGGCGACAAGGATGAGATTGTTATGGTAAGTTACCCACGCATGCATGGACTCTCCCAGCTATAAATAGGAGCAGGTACTGCCTTTTGGAGAGTGAAGTTTCCAGCAGTCAGCTCTAACAGTCGGACCGAACACTCTCGTTTGTATATGTTTGTATTATCGTTTCTGTTAATATATTTGTTTAACTCAATTCTCATCTTGTGTTTTGGCCACAATAGTATACTTAAATGAAAAAGATACACTTGATATTTCCTTGTAAGGAAAGGGGCTTTGAAAAATTTAACACTCGCAGAATATACAGAAGGCCGGAGGAAAAAGAGGGAACAGCGAGCAACCTATCTAACAAGCTAGGGTAAACAGATGATAGAGGGGTGTTAAGAAGTCAAACAATAGACAAGAAAATGTGGATAGAAATGGTAGATCCTAAAGGATAATGGTAATATTAGCCATTACTTTGTGTGAAAATAATCGGTATTCATTTCAAGAATGCAACGTCAAAACCTCCCATTGTAACATCGAACGTTCCTTCTGCTGTAGCCAGGCGTTCTCGAAAAATAATAATTTCAATCAATGTTTGATGATATTTACTTCGTTTGTGGTTATTTTTATTTTTTCTTAAGCTAAGTAGATGTCCTTGTGTTCCTATGCGCCTACAGACGGCGGAATCTGTGACATAGAGATCCGAAAGCACCCCCGATTAGCCAGTACCATTTTTGGTTTAAATTTAAAAAAAAAAAATATTATAAAAATTTATTTGAAAATAGGTCTCTCAAGTTCAGTGTTATCGCTCTTTCCAGTAATAGAAATGTTAGACCAGTGAGTGACTGCAATCATCTCGCCTAACAAGAGTAGAGACGACGCCATGACAAAGTAGCCATCAGAATAAATTGGGAACTTTTCAGAAACTATAGCCTCGAGTGCACAGAGATGTGGTACGAGGATTCATCGCTGTCAATAGCCGAGAAAGATCAAGAGAGGCTCATGTGACGTACAACTGTATTCTTTGAACGCAATCAATTATGATACCACTTGTTCAAACTCTTTTTGAAATTCTTACATTGAAGCGCTTTTAAAAATGACCTCATTTGCACTATTTACATAATTAGGATTATTGTCTTCATCTTTGTCGCCATATTTATTACAACGTTTCGGCCGTTGTACGCTCCGGCCTTCTTCGAGTGGTTGGAATGTCGAACTGAACCCTTTATTTTCGCTCGCTGAGGTAGACTGTTCTAGTTCCACGTGCCATGTCTAATGGATGTCAGTTATCAGTTATCTCCTGTTAATTCCCCTCTCCAAGTTGTACACCGCCTTATTCAGGTATTGAACTCACACTCTTTGGGTCCTGTCACTGGATCTAACCAACGCCTTTATCCACTGGGCCGTGTGTCCTTGAGGACATCTGTGAATGAATTTCTGGGTATTATAAGAACACCAGAACGCTGTAACACGAGAGGAATTAGAAAAATCGGACGTGGCTGACCACATATGGAGAGAAAAGGGAGATTACCGAAACGTTGTAATATGGCGACAAAGATAAGGACAATAGTCTGAATAATGTAAATAGTGTACATAATACCTCATCTCAGAAATATAGACAAATACCTCATTTGCTTTGTAAAGTCTTGCGCACGTGTTACTTGAACACAATCATGTCTCCACCTTAAGATATCATTCGTTAAAACTTTCAGAAGTTCTTATATAGAAGCACCTTTACAAATGTGGCTGCTAGCATAAAAAGAGTACAGACAACGCCGTAATAAAGTAACCCTCAGAATAAATTGGCAACTCTTCGGAAAGTACGCAGATATGTGATAGGAGCGTTCATCGTCGTCAGTTTCCCAGAATGTGAAGCTCATATGGGATTCAACCATCTGACTAAAAAGCGCTTTGAGAACAATCGCCCTGGTAGCATATTTGCGTACAAGAACACCTATAGATGGATACTGATAGACCTTGCGGTATCTTGGGATAAGAACATCGTAAAGTCTGAGTAAACGAAAATACAGAGGCACGGTGGAGTAATGGATAGCGGCTTGGATTGAGGAATCGGAGAGCCGAGTTCGAATTCCAGTCGAATCCATTACATTCACTTACGTTCTTCCTCCAGCTACGAGTAAATAGCAGGACAGACTGGGTTCTATAGCCTTGGATGGCAACTAGTCTAGGAGAAGGAAAACTCTGAATTCAATACCTGCGGAGGGTCGTTTGGGGACCATGTGGCACGTAGTAGGTCTCTGTATTCGGCCCTTCAAAAAGTGTGGATGGTCCTGCACGAAACCTTCACCACTATAATCAAATCTCATGTGCAATACATGTGGGTTTGGGGACCGCTTGTGAATTCCAAATTCCCATGAAACTCCAATATTGGAGCCGGCTCAACCCACCCCGGGTAAATGCCGTTACAAGAACAAGAAGAAGACCTGGAGAAATTATATCAAAAGGCAGCTCATTTTCTGCCTCCTGTGGTCGGCGCGCACGGGATTATTTCCAAAATGTTTTTTTTTTTTTTCTGCCATGGAGGGGACCTTGTGGATACCGCAAAACATCGAGAGTTCGTAGATGGCAACACTGCTTGGTACAACGAATATGCTGAGGAAAGTGAGATGATTACGATTTGCCCCGAACATAAGCATCGAAGCGTCGGAATGAATATTGTATTCATTGATCTTTCTTACTTGTCGCGTCAGGTGACCGTCAGTGGAGACTAAGTAATGACAAATTCCGTCAATAGACAAATACCTTTAGCATTTTTGTTGACATCAGTCATGCGCCGTGGAGTAATGGATAGCGGCTCGGACTGGATAGTCGGAGAGCCGAGTTCGAATTTCAGTCAAATCCATTACATTTACTTATGTGCTAATCACCTTGGTAAAGGTATGAATCCTCTTCTCCCCCCCCCCAGCTACGGGTTCTATAGATTTGGATGGCAACTGGCCCACTGCAGAAAGAAATGGTAACCTACTGCAGGAAATATCTACCTCTTCAGTCATGTATCGAAAGATACATGATCGCCTAAGCGTGTATCACTCATGGCACGTAACTGACTGACTGTTCTTTGGAGTGAGAAAAGTTTTCGAGTTTCCATTGAATTTTACAGTATGTTTTCTTCTTCCTCTTCTTCTTCTTCTTCTTCTTCTTCTTCTTCACATATTGATGTCTTTCTTCATCTCCTCTTTCACCTCTTCCTCTTTCTTTCTCCTTCTCCTCGTCCTTCTTCTTTTTCATCTTCTCTTCCTCTTTTATCTCAACGTCCGTTCTTTATGTCTTTTTCTTTCACCTTTCATTTCTCCATCCATTC